GCGAGGCCAGCGGCGCAGGCGCTCTCTCTGCAGAAGCGCAGACGTGGATCTGCAAGCCCACGGCCTCCAACCAGGGCAAAGGCATCTTTCTGCTCAGGCGTCGGGAGGACGTCGCCGCCCTGCAGGCCAAGACCCAGAGCCGCGAGGGCGACCCCGCCTTCCGCAAGATGCCGCTCCGAGGGCCGCAGGCTCGGGTGGTACAGAGGTGTGGGCGTGGGCCAGAGGGCAGGGCCTGGGGGCCAGACGGGCGGCTGCTGTGAGGGCCCTTGGTCGTCAGCAGCCTGTGGTGGCGGAGAGCCGCCCCCTGCGCCACCTGAGCTGCCGGGTGCAGACCCAAGCCGGGTCCCTCTGTGGCCAGGAGGGGGAAGGTGTCACATCCTGCGGGAGCCGCAGAAAAGCGGGTCTCCCCTCCAGCCCCTGGAAACAGGCTCTGGGTGGGTGGGGGCAGGGACGCCTCAGTCAGGTGGTTCCGCAGGCGGCCTGGCCTTGGTGGGCCCCGTTGCTCGCCAGCCCCATGCCCAACCCAGCAGCCAGTGGCAGCCTTCTGGCCTGCAGCCAGCTAACCATTCCCCTGCCCAGGCTACCTCCTGGCTGGGTCCCTTGACCTTCGCAGGGGTGCACAGGGGAGTGCAGTCTGGCCTCAGAAAGGCCCCTTCTACTTTACTCTCTCCCTCTGTGGAGCTGTGCTGGCCAGGATGCTGTCCGTCTCCTTCCCCTTCCGCCGGCCACTCCAGCCACCCTGGGCCTAAACACCTGGTGTGTTCCCTCCCTTCTTCCCCAGAGCCACCCACCCTATTGGCCACTTTCCTCCACCTTCCTCCTCCAGCCCTCCCTGCAGGGCGATCCGCTCCTGTCCTCCGGCTCCTGGCGAGGCTGCACCCTCGGGCGCCCCGATACATCCTGGGCTGAGACCCAGGTGCCAGGCCCATCTCAACTCCCTGGCCTGTGTGGCTGACACGTCTCCCGGGCGTCGTGCACGGCCAGAGGTCAACCCCAGGACAGTGCGGGATGCCCAGGACAGGGCCTGGCCCGGGAGGTGAGGACACAGGCCCTGTAGCTCAGTCCCCACAGCCCCAGCCAATGCCCCCAGGTACATCCAAAACCCACTGCTACTCGACGGGAGGAAGTTTGATGTGCGGGCCTACCTCCTCATCGCCTGTGCCATGCCCTACATGGTCTTCTTTGGCCATGGCTATGCCCGCCTCACCCTAAGCCTCTACGACCCCCACTCCAGCAACCTCAGTGGCCACTTGACCAACCAGGTGAGAGTCTCCACAGGCGAGGGTCTCTGCAGCCTCAGGATGAGGTCAGAGGCTGCTCCCCTATCTGGGAGCTGGGAGGGTCCTCCTGTAGACATGGCTTAGCCTTGGAGGGGGCCCAGGCCAGGAGGTGGCCCGGGCCGGGAGGTGGCCTGGGCCTGGAGGTGGCCCGGGTCGGGAAGTGGCCTGGGCTGCCCTGCCTGCAGTCAGCACTGCCTCTGCCATCTCACTGTCAGCCATGGCAGAAGGGCATGGCAGGGCCCAGATGTCCCGTGAAATGACAGAGCCCTGCAGCCTCCTCCTTGGCTCCCACTGGGTGTACAGAGGTGGGCATGGGTGGGATGGGAGCCCAGAGGCTCTGCAGGGTCCTCAGTGGAGGGATCCTGTGGGCAGGGGTCTCTGGGGAAGGGTCTTGATGGACCTTGTCTGGGCAGGGGTCTTCCACCAGGGTCTGTGGGGGCCTTGGGCCCAGGGGGCTTGTAGGATGTAGGTGCCTGCAGGATGCAGGGGTCTGCAGGAAGGTCTCCGCAGGTAGCTGTGGGATGTGGGTGTCTGTAGGAGAGGTGGGTGAGGGCGAGGCTCTCTCCAGGCCTCCATGCAGGCCGGATCTCGGCATCCAGGTCTGCAGCCCAGCACCTGCCCCAGTTCATGCAGAAGAAGAGCCCCTTGTACATGCTGCTCAAAGAGGACACGGTGTGGAGCATGGACCGCCTGAACCGTCACATCAACGACAAGTTCCAGAAGGCCCGGGGCCTCCCCAGAGACTGGGTCTTCACTACCTTCACGGTGGGTGGGGGTATGAGGTGGGGCCAGCAGCTAAAAGCCCTCCCACTGTGTGGGGCGAGGGGGAGGGTTGGGGGGGTGACACAGCATGCATGTCTGTGTCGGGCATGCGTGTGACACAGTGTATGTGTATTGTGTTGCGTGTCTATGTGTGATGTGTGTGTCTGTGGCGACTGAGCTGTGTGTCTGTGTTATATGTGTGACACGTGGCGGGGTTTCCACCCTGGCTAGGCCAGCCCGCATCATGCTTCCTTGGCATGTGTGGCAACTGCACGACAGCGTGTGCCTGTGAGTTGGAAGCTCTCCACATGCCTCTGAGCATCCCAGAAGCCCCCACAGGCCCAGCAGCAGGAAGAGCAGGGTCACCCACCCAGGACCGAGGGTAACAGAGTTTTATTCATCCTGGCCGGCAGGGGTGGTGATCCTATATAAAGATCATCTTTTTTTTTTGAGTCGGAGTCTCTCACTGTTGCCCAGGCTGGAGTGCGTTGGCACGCTGCTCACGGTCACCACAGCCTCGGGCTCAGGTGACCCTTCTGCCTTAGCCTTGCAAGTAGCCAGAACTACAAGCGCATGCTACTACGCCTGGCTAATTTTTTGATTTATTGTAGAGACGAGGTCTGGCCAAGTTGCCCAAGTGGTCTTGAACTCGCGGACTCAGACAATCCACTCACCTCAACCTCCCAAAGTGCTGGGATTACAGGCTGAGCCACCAAGCCTGGCCAGTCTTGTCTTCTTTGTCCTTCATTCTAGTGATGGGTCATATTGCTCCGATTAACTCTTGTGTGCTGAACTGCCCTTGCATTCAGGGATGGCTCCTGCTTGGTGATGATGTAACATCATTTTGGTGAGCTGTTGATTTGGCGTGTCAGGTTTTGCTGAGGCCTTGTGTATGTGCCCGCAGGCCATGCTGTTCCCTGGCATTCTTTTTCTGTAAGCCTATGTATGGTTTTGCCGCAATGCATGAGTTAGGATGCGTTCCCTCCTCTTCTCTTTTTGGAGGGTTCATGAAGGATTGGTGTTCATTCTCTAAATGTTTAGAATAATTTACCAATGAAGCCATCTGAGTTTTTCTTCATGGGGAAATTTATTATTATTATTATTATTATTATTACTACCGCCACCATCACCACTACCGCAATCTTTTCTTTTCTTTTTTTTTTTTTTTGAGTTGGAGTCTCACTCTGTCACCCAGACTGGAGTGCAGTGGCCGCTCTCGGCCACCGCAGCCTCGACCTGCTGGGCTCCGGCGATCCTTCCGCTGGAACTACAGGCGCGCGCTACCACACCTGGCTAGTTTTTTTTTTAATTTATTGTAGAGATGAGGTCTCGCCAAGTTGCCCAGGTGGGTCTCGAACCTGCGGGCTCAGGCAATCCACTCACCTCAGCCTCCCAAAGCTGGGATTACAGGCTGAGCCACCGAGCCCGGCTATCTTTTCTTGTTATAGGTCTATTAAGATCTTTTATTATTTTTTAGAAATGAAGTCTCATGGCCATGGCCTTGCTAAGCTATGGTATGGCCACGTGCTCTTTGAGCTGTGGCCAGGCCATGTTTCCTGGCTTTGGCCCTCTCTCCTACCTTGGGGAGATGAATCTCCTCTTTCTCTCTCTCAATTTACTTTCTTTTTTTGTTTGTTTGTTTGTTTGTTTGTTTTTAGTTGGAGTCTCACTCTGTCACCCAGACTGGAGTGCAGTGGCTGCTCCCAGCCACCGCAGCCTCGACCTGCTGGGCTCTGGCGATCCATCTGCCTCAGCCTTCCAAATAGCTGGAACTACAGGCACGCGCTACCACGCCCGGCTAATTTTTTGGTTTATTGTAGAGATGAGGTCTCGCCAAGTTGCCCAGGTGGGTCTCGAACCCGCAGGCTCTGGCAATCCACTCACCTCCCGAAGTGCTGGGATTACAGGCTAAGCCACCAAGCCTAGCCTCAATTTACTTTCTAAATAAACTATATTTTCCAATCTAAAAAAAAAAAAAAAGAAAGAAATAGTCTCACTATGTTGCACAGGCTGGTCTCAAACTTTGGACTCCTGGGCTCAAGCGCTCCTCCCACTTCAGCCTCCTAAAGTGCTGCGATTACAGGCATGACCCACTGCATCGCGTCCAGCGGCAAAAAAAAAAACCCAAAAAAACTATGCTATCTTTTATATTCGATTATGTAATTACTTTTACTGGGGCTCTTTCTGTGAATTCCAGTGACTGTCCAGTGTCCTTGCATTTCAGCCTGAAGAACTTTCAGGAAGGTCTGCCCCTGTTTTTTTATCTGGTGATGCCTTAATTTCTCCTTCATTTTACTTTCAGCCGTTTTATTTTATTATTTATTTATTTTTTGAGTTGGAGTCTCGCTCTGTCACCCAAGCTGGAATGCAATGGCACGCTCATGGCCACCACAGCCTCCACCTGCTGGGCTCAGGTGATCCTTCCCCCTCAGCCTTTTAAGTAGCCAGAACTGCAGGTGCACACTACCACGCTCGGCTAATTTTTTTATTTATTGTAGAGACAAGGCCTCACCAAGTTGCCCAGGCTGGTCTCGAACTCCTAAGCTCAGGCAATCCTCTTGCCTCCACCTCCCAAAGTGCTGGGATTACAGGCTGAGCCACCAAGCCTGGCCTTTCAGCCATTTTAATATGTTGCCCATCGCCTTCTGGTCTCCTGGTTCTGATAATCAACTGGCTAGTGATTGTGGTGATTTCGGTATCCGCTGTTTTTGTCTTTGGAAAGTTGGTTTATGAGGTGATGATTCTCTGAGTTTACCCTGCTTTGAGTTTATTGAGCTTCTTGAATGTGTAGATTAATGTTTTCATCAAACTGGGAAGTTTTCTGCCGTTGTTTCATCAAGTATTCTATCTGCTCCTTTCTCTCCTAGGCTTCTGGGACTTCCATTATGCAACTGTTGGTCCACTTGCCGATATCCCACCCACAGGTCTTTGAGGTCTTTGAGGCTTCCCCCTTCCTTTTTCTTTCTGTTCCTCAGATTAAATCATCTCGATTGACCTAGCTTCAAATAACTCAAAACGGCTGTTGAGCCCTTCTAGTGAATTTCCTATTTCAGTGATACTTTTCAGCTCCAGAATTTACATCGGTTCCCTATTATAATTTCTGTGTCTTCACTGATATTCTCTGTTGGGTGAGACAGAGTCCTCCTACTGCAGTCCTTTCCAGTGGGGCTTTCCAGGGAATTGTCAGACAAGTGGTCTGTCCTGCAGACCTGGTATGGGGGTGCAGGCCGGTTTCTTTTGAAGCTGCCACTGAGCTGAGCAGCAGGGGATGAAACTCACTGGAGCATGTGAGTCCTCACCAAGACTCCCGGCTCTGCGTAACCCACGTGTGCCATCTCTCCTGCCACGAGTGAGCTGAGGGGCAGAGGCTTCTGGCAAACTTCTTGGCTCTTGTGTCTCCAGTGCCTGCGGCCCAGTAGGAGTCCTTTGTTGGTTGACTGAATTTCTGGCTGTGAGCTGTGACGGAGTGTGCCGGAGTGTGGGAGGTGGAGTGTGGGAGGTGCGGCTGTGCGAGTGCAGGGGAGGGTGCGAGGAGAGAGATGCCTGTGGCTGTTCAGGCCTGGGAGGCATCACCAGGGTCTGTGGGGACAGCGGGGTGCCCTCCCTGCCCACTCCAGAAGCGGATGCAGCAGATCATGGCCCACTGCTTCCGGGCCGTCAAAGCCAAGCTCGAGTGCAAGCTGGGGTACTTCGACCTCATCGGCTGTGACTTCCTGGTTGATGAGAACTTCAAGGTGCTGCCCTGGGCAGGATTCAAGGGCCCGGGGCCGGGCAGACACTGCTGCCAGACCCCGCCCTGCCCTCACCAGTCCCCGGGGTGGGGGTGTCCTTGAAGCTCAGCTCCCAGGGCCTGGGACAGACCTGCAACCCCAGGGAGGCCCCCAGGCCAGAGGGTCTGAGGCCCTAGAGAAGATGTGATCCGGGCAGTCACCCGGCTGAATGGGTCCAGGTCCTTCCGCTGGCCAAGTGGGCCCTGGGTGGGCAAATGGGAGGTGCTGTGTTGCCCAGGTGTGGCTGCTGGAGATGAACTCAAACCCCGCCCTGCACACCAACTGCGAGGTCCTCAAGGAGGTGGTCCCACGCGTGGTCATGGAGACCCTGGGTGAGCCGCCCTCCGGCACAAGCCCACTGCCTGCCAGTCCCCGGCCCACCTCACCCTGGACCCAAGTCCCCACAGATCAGGTCCCCTCTCATCACAAGGGCCTGTGCGGCAGCCCCAGCCCTAAACTAAGGCCGTGCCCCCAGCACCTCAGCCCGGCTGGGTGGCATCCCAGCGGCCCCCTCCCTGCCCTCCCG